ATAAAAGAAAAAGATTTAGAACAGGTAGTTTATTATGTGAGGAAATTTTTGGTTATTCACGTTTATGCCTAACATATAATTGTAAAAAAGCTAAATATAACGAAAATATAATTTATAATAAATACTGCATTAAATGTTGTAAAAAAATGAAATTAAATGCTTACAGAAAATACAGATTTGGATCTATATTTTTTAATTTTCCTATTTTAAATCCTATATATATGGATAAATTCAATAAATATATAAAATTATTTAATTTAGAATATAGTTTTAATAAATGCAATTTATATTCTTTTAATTATGAAGATCCTTATGGCGACAATATAAAAGAAAGTATATTTTTAGGTAATTTTTGTGTAATTAAAAATTTATTTTTAAACTTCATAAATTTATTATATAAATTTTTTTCATCTTTAGAAATATTTAAGTATAAAATAAATAGTATAAAAAAATATAATAAATATTCTTTTTTTGATTTTAAAACAATTAATATTAATCATAATTTAACACTATTTAAAAATAGTTTATTACTTCTATTCCCCGTTTTACCTGTAAACTTAAGACATTCAATAACTATAACAGATAATAATAAAATAAACTCAAAATTCAGTTCTTTATACAAGTACATAATAGATATAAATAATAAATTACTCACTAAAACATCTAATTTTAATTATAGTACAAGGTATATTTTTATATTATTTTTCCTAATAAGACTTTTATTAATTTATTCTAAATTTCAGTTAGCTTTTAAAGATGATTATAATATATATTCTAAGATTAGTGGTAAATACGGTATATTCAGACAAAATTTATTAGGATTTAGAGTGGATTATTCAGGTCGAGCTTCTATAGTTTCTGGACCTGATATACTTTTAAATTGTGTTGGAGTTCCTACAAAAATGTTTAAACATCATTTAAATAATAATATTTTTGATGTGTACGATGAAGAATTAGACGAACAATATACTAATACTAATATATACAACACATTTAATGATTTAAATAAATATTCATTTATAGTTAATAGAGCTCCTACACTACATAAGATGAATACTCAAGCATTTGATCCTATATTTACAGAAGGTAGATCAGTTAAATTTATGCCTTTATTATGTGCTGGATATAATGCCGATTTCGACGGAGATCAAATGGGTGTTTTTTCTGTACTATTTGAAAACCCTATAATAGAGTCTAAAAATATGATGAGACCTATAGTTAATTTACATTCTCCAACAAATAAAAAAAATATTTTTAATTTAACTCAAGGAATGATTTTAGGGCAATATGTGTTATCCGAATATGACTATTTTAAATTTAAAGATAAATATATAATAGGTAATTACATGTCTTTATTAGATTTACATCTAAATAAATTATATGTAAATGCGCCTACAGTACTTAGACATTGTAAATATTTTTACCTAACTACTGCAGGTAGATCTTTATTGAATACTAAAAATTATTAGATGAAATGTATAATAATAAAAATTTTAAATTTATATCTTTAACTAATATATCTTATATAGAAAAATATTTAAAAGAAATAGTAAATTTATGTTTTGAATATTCTTCTATTTTTCCTGTAAGCTATGATTTAAATAGTTTTAAAACTATTCCTTTATACAATACAAACACTAAACTATATAATATATCGAATGTATTTTATTTATTAAATTTATATTTAGAGAAAGATTGTTTTTTTTCTAGCTTATTTTTTATGGTAAATTTAGGGGCAAAATTAAAACCTAATCAATTATTTCAAATAACTAATATAAAAGGTGTATCAAGTTTGACTGAGTCAGAAACTTTTTTATTAAGTAATCTATATTACGGACTAAATTTAAAAGATATTATTTATTCTTCATTCTCTTCTAGAAGTAGCATAATAGATAGTAGTTTAAATACATCTGAATCAGGTTATTTAACAAGAAAATTAGTAGAAAGTTTAAGAGACCTTTCTATAAAGTGTAACATATGTTTTACAAAATACACTTATAAAAATACATATAAAAATATATATATAAACATTCCTTTTTTATGTTCTAATAATAAGTCTGTATGTTTAAAATGTATGTCAGTAGATTATGATAAAATAAATATATCAGGGTACAGTAAAGGTGTTGTATCTGGGCAGGCTTTAGGTGAACCTAGTACTCAAATGTTATTAAGGACATTTCATTTAGGTGACAAAATAGCTTTTAATAATTTATTTCTACGAGATAGGTATATTAATAAGAACAATAAACAATTAAAATACTCTGGGAATTGTTACAGTATATTGTCTAATTTAAAAACTAAAAATATAGGTAAATATTTAAATATTGTATTATTTAAATATAACACACTAAGTATTTACAGTAGTTCTTCTAATATTTTTTCATATTTATCTTTAGTAAAAATTTTAAATAATTTATGGGGCTCTATACATATATTTAAAAATTATAGTAATAGTGTTAAAATTATTAATAATATAAAAATTAATAATAATATAATTTATTCTATATTGTAAAATAAATGAAATATAATAATATAAAATATAATATTTTAGAAAAAAATATTAACTATAAAAATATATTTAATAAATCTGAAATAAACTACAAAAAAGAAAATAATATATATAAAAATATTATAAAAACTTTTTTATTTAAAAAATACAATACTAATAAATATATAAAAGAAATATTATTTAACAGTTCTAAAGATAAATTAAGTACTATAAATAAATTATTCGAAGGAAGGCATTTAAAACTTAATACTAATTTAACTTTATATAAAATTATGGGCATACTGAAATACAATAACTATATAAATACTATTATTATAATTTCTTTAAATAATATTTTAAAAACTAATTTACTTATATCAGATAATTATATAACAAATATTACTATGTATAAAAATAGTTTAATAACGTTCCCTTTAAGTTTAAACGATATATCTAATATAAATAATTATATATACTATATTTATAAATTTATATATTATAAAAATTATAATATTTATAAATCAAATATAATATCCTTATTTTATTACTTTATAGGTATATTTTTATCTTTATTTTCTTTATACTTTTATAACAATATTAAAATAGTATATTCTAATTTAATAATAATATCAATGAAATTATCAAATTTTTCTTTAATAGAAAAAGTAAACAAATTTACTGTAGAAGTTAACTATATATATAATATAAAAATTTTAAATATAATAAATAATTCTATATATTTATCTAATAATATATTACTTACCTATAGACCATATCTAATAGGTCTTACTAGTTATACCCTTATAAGTACAGGTATTTTATCTAAATTAAGTTTTCAAGAAACTCTTAGAACTTTACAAAATATAATATTAAATGAAAAAATAGAATGGTCTGTGGATACAAAATCTAGTTTAATAACATCAGATTTTATATCTGTGGGTTCTGGATGGTATAGATATTTTATAAACTAAATAAAAATGATATTAACATTTAATACATTATTAAAGCATTATATGCACATAAGCAATATACGTAAACTACATAAAAATACTCATAACATATACAAAATAGTTAATAATAGCTATATTATAAATTTAGTTTATATAGCGTCTTATTTATATAAACTTTATAAAATATTATTTTTATTAAGTTTAAAAAATATGTATATAACTGTTATAAATACTACAATATTACCTGATTATAAATTTATAAATTATTTAACAAAATTCACAAATAGTAATTGTTTTAATAAAAAATGGATAAACGGTGCTATAACTAATAATGTTGTTCTTTCTAGTATTATAGTTATACATATATTTATAAATAAAATATTTAAATTGATAAAAAAATTTGACAATTTATATAATAGTAAATTTTATAGTATTAAAAATAAATATAATTTTGCAAAATATATTAAAAATTTAAGATTTTCTAAATTTATATTTATTTTAAATTTAGATTCTAATATAACTGCTGTAAAAGAATGTTTAATAAAAAATAAATTTACAATGGGGGCATGTGACTTAAACTTTGATAGTAGTTTAATAGATTTTAATATTTACTGTAACAATGTAAACCCAAAATCAATAAATTTTTTATTAAAATTTATAATAACTTCATCGGTACAGTCAAAATATTTAAAAAATAAAAAAAATAATAATAAAAAACAAATTAAGCAAAAAAAAATTCAAAAAAAAAATAAATATAAAAAACCAAATAAAAAATATTACAAAAAAAATAAACATTAAAAATGAATTCATAGTTTAAACGTTTAAAACAAAAATTTTCTAAATTTTTAATATAAGTTAAAGTCTTATTGAATTCAATTAAAATTTACCCCATAAGTATAAGGGTAATTTAACAATATTTTATGTGTTTTTTTTATTAATAGTATAAATACATAAGTATTATTAGTGTTTTAATGCTATATAGTGCTTTTTGAAAACTTACACTAATATATATATATAATATAAATTAAAAATATTTTAAGCAAAATGGAGTAAAGGATAACTCATTGGTTTCATTGTCCAAAGTTAAAGGTTTAAGTCCTTTTTTTGTTAATCTATAATTATAGTTAAATTAAATATAAAATTTATCTATTTTTACCTCATAAGTATAAGGGTAATTTAACAATATTTTATGTGTTTTTTTTATTAATAGTATAAATACATAAGTATTATTAGTGTTTTAATGCTATATAGTGCTTTTTGAAAACTTACACTAATATATATATATAATATAAATTAAAAATATTTTAAGCAAAATGGAGTAAAGGATAACTCATTGGTTTCATTGTCCAAAGTTAAAGGTTTAAGTCCTTTTTTGTTAATCTATAATTATAGTTAAATTAAATATAAAATTTATCTATTTTTACCTCATAAGTATAAGGGTAATTTAACAATATTTTATGTGTTTTTTTTATTAATAGTATAAATACATAAGTATTATTAGTGTTTTAATGCTATATAGTGCTTTTTGAAAACTTACACTAATATATATATATATATATATGACCAAAATAGCTCAATTTGGTTAAGAGTGCTGGTTTGAAGGACCAGAGGTAGTCAGTTCGAATCTGACTTTTGGTGATTTACATTTTTATTATAATAAATATGGCGAAATAGGTAGACGCACTAAATTTAGGATTTAGTTTTTAAGAGTTCGATCCTCTTTATTTATAAATAAATTATATATAAGATAATTAATTTAATGATAAAATATTTAATTTACATTTAAAAAACAATGGTTTAATTCCATTATTATCTATAGGGAATATAATTTAATGTTAAAATATTATTTTTGCAAAATAAAAATAGTGGTTAAATTCCTCTTATTTCCATAATAATATAATAATATAGACTTTTAGCTTAAAGGTAAAGTTTACATATGATAAATGTAATATTTTGGTTCGATTCCAAAAAGGTCTATATTAAATTTAGATCTATAGCTTAAATAGATTAAAGCGTATAACTACGGATTATAATATAAAGGTTTGAGTCCTTTTAGATCTTATTTTAATTAAATTAATTTAATAGGTATAAAATACTAATATAATGTTTAAAAATTTAAACATATTTTTTAAAAAAAATTAAGAATAAAAATTTTTTATGTAAGTTAGATCCTAGCTTAGAATGAACGCTTAAGACGTACTTTTGACACATGCTAATTAAACTTAAAATTCAAATTATATTTATTTAAGTTAGTGTATAGGTGAGTAATGAATAGAAATAAAATTATAAATTTAGAATAACAATATAAAGTTTTAAACTTTATATTCTAATTCTTAATGTGTGCTATTAATTGTACAAAAAAAAATTTTATTTATAAATTAGTTCTATTTTTGATTAGCTATTTAATATTTAAAACGAATATTAAGGTGAAGATCAATAACTGGCCTGAGAGGGTGTACAGTCACATCAGAATTGAAATAAAATCTGAATTTCTATATAGAGAGCAGCAGTGGGGAATATTCTACAATTAGTGAAAACTAGATAGAGTGACGTCGTGTGAAAAGATGACATAAAATGTAAATTTCTGTAAATAATTCTAAAATAAGTGATTGAATTATAAGAAAATATCGGCTAACTCTGTGCCAGCAGCCGCGGTAATACAGAGGATATAAGTGTTATTCATAATTATTGGGCATAAAGCATCCGTAGATGGTTTATTGTATTAAATTAAAAATTTAAAAATAATATTTTTAAACATTAAAATTAATATTAATAAACTTTGAGAATAAAATAAGTTTAAGGAATTTTTTGAGTAATGGTGAAATATAATTTCTATACATTAAGGAAGGCCATAAACGAAGGTATTAAACTAGGTTATATCTGACATTATAGGATGAAAGCTAAAGTAGCAAATGGGATTAGATACCCCAGTAGTTTTAGCTGTAAATTATGAGTATTAAAATTTAGAAATAATATTTTTAGATTTAAAGTTAATACGTTAAATACTCCGCCTGAATAGTACACTCGCAAGAGTCAAATTCAAAGGAACTGACGGGAACTTATACAAGTGATGAGCCATGTCGTTTAATTTGATGCAGCCCAAAAAATCTTACCAATATTTGACATAATTAAACAATTTTTATTACAGAAAAATGTTAATTAATCTTAAGGTGGTGCATGGTTGTCGTCAGCTAGTGCTGTGAAGTAATTTAATATTTTTAAAACTAGCGCAACCCTTATTTTTTTATAGTATAAATAAATAAGGATGATGTCAAATCCTTATGCCCCTTATGTATTGGGCTATGGGCGTGGCGCAACGATAAAAACAACTGTAAAAAATATTTATTAAATTTTATAAAAAGTTTATATATATATTTAGTTAAATTTTATCTCAGTACGATATATAAATTGAAATTTATTTATATTTAGTAGTAACCACTAGTAATCGTTAGTCATATATATAACGGTGAATATATAATTAAGTTTTGTACACACCGCCCGTCGCATCCTGAAAGGGAATTGGATATAAGTTATTTTAAAGGTGACAAATTTTCAATTCGTGATTAGGATGAAGTCGTAACAAGGTAGCCGTACTGGAAAGTGCGGCTGGATATTATCAATAAAAATTTAGGTTGTAGTGTTATTTAATTATAAAATTAGTCTAAAATTTTAATAATATGAGGTATATTAGACATTTATTCCAATAGAATTTAAATGTTAATTGTTCCTATCAGATTATAATATTATTAACATAAATTAATAATAATATATTTTAAAATTAAAGATTAAAGATAAATTAAATTTAATTAAAAAAATAAAAGTATAGTTTAATAATAGAACAATTTGATCTTTGTATAGATTAAATAAATAATAGTGAAATTCTATTTGCTTTTTGTAACTAACAAACATCATATAAAAAAATAATTAAAATTAAATTAAAATTTAAAATGAATTTCTAAAATTTTATAAACGAAGAAAATCAAAATACAATTTTGAATATTTATATTTAAATATTTTAAATAAATAAAAAAATATAAAGTCATTGAATATTATAATATATTTTTATAATATTATTATATAGATTACTTAAAAAACTGAATCATCTTAGTATTTAAAGGAATAAAATGTAACAACGATTTTCTTAATAGCGGCGAGCGAATAGAAATTAAAATTAATATTATTAATTAATAATATATAAATAAATTTTTTATAAAAAGAAATAATATGTAAAACAAATATACTATTTGTTTGATTACTACATATTTAGTACTATCTAAAAAATTTTTAATATTATAAAATTTTATAGTGTACAAGTACTGTGAAGGAAAGATGAAAAGATTTTGGATAAAAAAGTGAAAAGAACATGAAATTTTAAATTTTATAAAGTTTATTTAATTTGATTTAACAATAATTTAATTAAATGCTTGTTGAAGAATGAGTCGGCGAGTTATAATTATTTATATATATATTATAAATATAATAAATATAATAAGAGGTAACTCGAGTTTTAAAAAAACAATTTTAATATAAATAATTATAGACCCGAACCCAAATGATCTAATTATGCTCAGAAAATATAGTATAATATACATATTGTTCGAACTAGTTGATGTTGCAAAATCATTAGATGAAGTGTAATTAGTGGTGAAATGCTAATCGAATTTGGAGCTAGCTGGTTTTCTCTGAAATGTATTTAAGTACAGATAAATATAAATAATAAAAGATAAAGCTCTACATTATATGTTTATTGATAATCTTATTAGTAAGCATGTTTAGTAAACTGTAAATTGTTATTATAATATTATTATTTATTAATAATAAATATTATATATATTATATAATATTGAGACTATTAGGGTTAAGCTTAATATGTCAAAAGGGAAACAGCCCTTAATATAAAATAAGGTATTTAAATATATACTTAGTCTAAGAAATTTAATTATGATTATGGCTAAAATATAAGCTTTCAAGCGGCTATTATTTAAAGAGTGGTACTGAGCACATTAGAACAGTAATTAAATATCATAAATAATTGAAAATAAGTATATTACCGAATTTATAAATTTAAATAAAAATTATTTTATTTAAATAGTAAGAGAACGTTTTATTTATGTTATAATTTATATGTAAATATAAATGAAAAATAAGTAAATAAAAGTGATAATGCCGATTTAAGTAATAAAATATTAGATACTAATCTAATACTCCTAATATTTATAGATTTCCTATTAAATGAATTAATCAAATAGGGTTAGTCGAAGTCTAAAAATAAATATTTCGTATATTTGATGAAAAATAAGTTAATATTCTTATACTATATTATATAAAATTTATATTAAATTTTAATAACTGTAAACGTTATTAACTAGAAATATTTAATTTAAAATATTTAATATATTCGTATTAAATCTGACACAAGTAAATAAGTAGAAAATATACTGAGGAGATGAATAAATTTTCTTTAAGGAACTAGGCAAAATGATTCTGTAACTTAGGGATAAAGAATGCTTTTAAAGTATAACATACTAGGCTCAAACGACTGTTTATCAAAAACACAGGTTCTTGCTAAATTTAATAATGATGTATAAGAACTGACTCCTGCCCAGTTCTAGTAAGTGAATGAAGAATATTACTATAATATATTTTTTTAAGCTCTAGTTAAACGGCGGCTGTATTCATAACGGTCCAAAGGTAGCGAAATTCCTTGTCGGGTAAGTTCCGACCTGCATGAAAGGAGCAACGATTTGAGCGCTGTCTTAAAGAAAATTTCAATGAAATAATAATGTCTGTGAAGATACGGACTATTTACACAAGGACAGAAAGACCCTATGAAGCTTTACTATAATTTATTAACATAGTTTATACACTATTAATGTAGAATATATGGTTAAAACAAAGTATTTAAATTTGTTTTTATAAATGAAATACCATTTTAATAGTTATAAAATTATTAATAATATTAAATATAAATATTTAATTAAAATTTTTATAAATCTGATAGTTTTACTGGGGCGGTATCCTCCTAAATAGTAACGGAGGAGAACTAAGGGTATTTAATAATATCTATAAAGATATTATATAAATTTTAAAGAAAATAAATATCTTAACTGTTAAATAAACTTATTATACAGAAATTAACGTTGGTCTTAATGATCCGATAAATAAAATTAATAGATGTATTATCGATAAACGAATAAAAGTTACTCTAGGGATAACAGGCTGATCTCTCTCGAGAGACTTGATATTGACGGGGAGGTTTGGCACCTCGATGTCGGCTTATCGCATCCTGAAGCTGAATAAGGTTTCAAGGGTTGGTTTGTTCACCCAATAAAGCGGTACGTGAGCTGGGTTCAGAACGTCGCAAGACAGTTTGGTCCATATCCGGTGTAAATTAATAAAACATTGCGATAATTCTTTTTAGTACGAGAGGAATAAAAGAACTATATTAATTGTGTACTAGTTATTTAATTTAATTAAGTAATTATTAGGTAGCAACATATAGTTAAAAAATAATTGCTGAAAAAATATAAGTAAGAATATGCATTTAAATATGTTTTTAAGAATAAAAAATTATTAATAAACAAATAATTATAATATATAATATAGTGTAAGTATAGTAATATATTCAGCTATATATTTATAAATTTAAAATTTTAATTATCTTTTTAGAAAATACACGCTGATATAGTTTAATCAGGTAAAATAGCTAATTTGTAATTAGCAAGATAAGAGTTCGAGTCTCCTTATTAGCTACTTTATTTATTTTTAGAAGGTTAGTTATGCAAAAAAAACATAATAAAATTAAAATTTTGAAAAAATTTAATTTATGTACATTGCATGGACTTACAAACAAATTTAACCTATACTACAAAAATTACAAAAAATTTACAGGGTATAAATTAACTAAAAATATTCAATTATTAAAAATTTTATATAATTTAAAAAACAAACAATTAACTTTACAAGAATTTAACATTTCTTATTTTACTAATATAACTAAATCTTTAAAATTTAGAGTTGATAGCATATTATTAGAATCTAATTTATTTAAAACATTGAATAGCGCTAGACAATATATTTCACATAAACATATACTTCTTAACAATAAAATTATAATTAATTGTGGGTATAAAGTTAAAAATAGTGATATACTACATAGTTTAAATTTTACTGATAATATATATTTATCTAATATAATATACAACCACATAAATAAAAATTTAAAAACACATAGTGTTTATAATAATATATATAAAATATTTAAGCGTAGAAAAAAGTATTCAAAAAATATTATAATGTATAATGATTTTACTGTATTTAGTAATATTATATGTTATAAAAATTTAAAAATACAAATAAATATTAAAAATAAAATATTTAGACCGGTTAACAGCGGTATTATAAATTTTGTATAACTAACAAATAATATATATATATAATTTAATAGATAAAATATTAATCTTCCAAATTAATTTTAAGGGTTTAAGTCCCTTTATATATATAGAAATAAAATAAATAATTTAGTATCTGTCGCTTAGTGGTCAATAGCGATGAGCTCATGACTCATTAAATACATGTCAGTAGTTCGAATCTACTTAGATACATTTAAGGTAAATATGTCCAAAAGGCTAAGGAAAAAAATTGTGGATTTTTAATTTATGAGTTCGAATCTCATTATTTACCACTGGTATGTGTATTTATGTTTTTATTTAATATAAATAATTAAGAAAGATGTCTGAGTGGTTAAAGATGTAAATTGCTAATTTATTAATCAAGGGTTCAAATCCCTTTCTTTCTTTTATAAACAATAAGATAAAGAAATGTGGTGAAACGGTAAACACAATGGACTTTTAAATTAAATTTTAAATAAAGTATCACATAAAATAAATTTTTAAATATATTAAGAGATTTTATACTCTGTAATTTTCCCATAAAATTCAAACGACTTTAAAAAAAATATTATTAAAATAAAGAAAAAGTCTTAAAATTAATTATTAATAAAGAAAATCCATTTATTTTTACAAATAATAAGGGTTCGATTCCCTTCATTTCTAAGATAGGTATATAGATTAGGAATTATAATTTAATGGTTAAAATATTATATTGTCGTTATAAAAATATGAGTTCAAGTCTCATTGATTTCGATTTATAAATACATAGGCTTTAATCGTTCAATGTTAGGACATTTTCTTTTCAAGAAAACAATAGGAATTAGAATTTCCTTTAGAGTATTTTTAAGTAAGTACCTAAGCGGATAAAAGGAATAGATTGTAGATCTATTGATATAAAAATTCTACATCAGTTCGAATCTGATCTTACTTATATATTATTTATATTTAAGCCGTATAATTTAATAAAAATATATAATTGCAGATTATAATATCTCAGGTAATATCTGAGTACGGCTTATTTACAATTTTTGTTATAATTAATTAATATGTGTATTTATATAGTATTATAGATTACTAGCTTAATAGGTAAAGTACTCGCTTTTT